AGCCATTACAGTAAAGAATATGGTGGTGTAATAAGGGACTTTGGAAACTATTATGTTCAAAAGAATGTTCAAATAAGCTCCAAAGGGAAACTGACATAGTAGCATTATAATAACTTTAAAGCTAGAGTCCATCATTTGCAGCTATCCGAAAAGTAACTGGCGTCATTATTGTTGAAAAACATACTTGGTTGAAAGAAAGTAAGGGGACTAAACTCCCTGTGAAATGATTCTTTCTGGCAAGCTGTCATTTTGAAGAAATCAACAAAAGAAGGCCTTTCCAACAGTGCTTCTTAAGACGCACCGTAGGAAATTCAAATTAGTAGTTCGTTTTGTTATTCGGCGAAGCACGCGCCAGCATTTGCACGACGCACATGCGGGTGCGGTTGCTATAATTCATTGGATCAGTGTGCGACATGTCGCATAGCTGCAATCAGCTCAGTGAGAACGTGTCTCGGACGCTGAACTCAGGCCCAATTCAAAACACGGTTCAGCAACTTTTGATTTGAAATCGAGATCCTAGAATGCTGTTTTTCTCGGAATATACAGCTGAAACTGAGCTGAAACTTCATCAGGTCAGTTGTTCAGTACCCTTCTTTAGATCTTGAGCACTTTTGTAGTTTCAAACAAACAAAATGCACAATTGCAAATGATGGACTATACCTTTAATAACAAAGAATTGACTGGTGACCTATTTGAACCTGCAACCTCCCGACATTGCAGGTTCGAACCCCGCTCCAGTCAATTTCTCTGTTCAATTTTAAAATGCTCACGAGAAATGACTAATGTCATGAAGCATTTCCTACAAATTAAACTCCACCCTAGATCTTCCCATTGAACTTTTCTTCATTTAAATCTAGCTTGACATGAGCTTGTACAATACAATGTATATTTGCGAGTAGTTGTACCTGTATGTAAAACATACTTTGTAAATGTTTCATATTATTAGTGTGCATTTGGGTATTGATACATTCAAAAACAGTCGGTGCATTTGTATTAGGCTAAAAAAAAAAAGTCTCCGGTTTCTGGTATGGAACTTGCCCCAAAAGTGGTGCGGGGACGCGTTTTTTTTTTTTTTTTTTAACCTGTTTTTTTTTTTTTTGGCTTCAAATGTCGGCTGATGACTGCAAATGGTGCCCGACTAAACTTAGTGCAAATATATGGGAGTCCAGAGAGGCCACATAAAGCTTATTCTCGACCATCTAAAAACACGTTAAAATTGTGCAGCAGCAGGATTCCAGTCAAACCAGTGAGTTTGGAGGTTTTGAGACATCATCTTGTATTGAAAAAAAACCTTTTCATTTTGCCGACGGGCATGTCTACGGCGACGCGCGTGCATACCAGAAACCGGAGACTTTTTTTTTTTTGGCCTTACATCACATTTTACTCAATAGCATATAACCTCAATCTGGTATCGCTTGGGTATAACAGTGTCTTCAATTCATTATCACTATTATATTTCTATACATATTTCCTCTCTGATCGCCAAGCAACATGTATCTGGAATTTCATTTTGTTGTTGGTGCAAATATACTAATTATCAGTCATTCTGATGGCTCCAATCCTTTGACAAATTGTGATAGTGAATGATGTGATAAGGACGTACATTTTCTTCAATTGAAAGACGATGACAAACATCAACACCTGAAGCAGCAGATTTTATCCCTAGGAAACTCTGAATACATACATACATGTAAGACCAACATGTTTGAATCAATTACATTCCCTGAATTCAATTGAGCAGAATTGTGTTTCCATGGTAATATATGGAGTAGACTTGTGAGTTTTTAGTGCTGGAACTGTTAAAATGGTATTTTAAACTAACATTCTTGCTTAATGAATGGCCTATAGTATTGTGAAGGAATGTTTCAGTTAGCATTCTTTCCAGCAGTTTCCTGTGTATGTCCACTAGCACACTAATGCTGGTTGTCTATGTACAGTCTTTCAGTCATAGAGCTATATTAAATTACTAGAGCGCTAACTCGATGTACAAAGTAATGCCTGATGGGTGCATCCATGTTTGTACACAAACCTATGGAGAACTAGAAATTTTGTACGGCTTTTGTACGGCTATATTTGCATATCTGTGTTTGTATTCCTTACTGGTGCGTTATGGAAGTCGATACGCCCAAAACCGAAACGCACGATCAGCTAATGAGCGTGTCATTTTGCTCTATGCAAACAGCGCAACGCGTGCGCGTATTCGCTGCAGATGCTTTTTGCCGTGACGTTTTTTTAACAGTCATGATGCGCTTAAGTTGTTTGCGTATGTTCTACTTGCCCGTTACATGTAGAGTACACTTTCAAAATTCAATCCATCTAATTTCATTATGTTCTACAAACACGCACATGAATTCAAAATGTCTGCACCCACGACGGCTTCAAAGCGTCTCCGCACGCAAGAACGAGGAGTTAGCGCTCTAGTAATTATAGCTCTATGCTTTTAGCTTACATGTATCTTATAAAGTTTGTGTGTGCATATAATTATTTGATAGGTTGAATTTGAAATCATTAATTAAACACAAAAGCATTTCAAACTAAATCTGAGGGTAGCTTCCTACTTCAGCTCTGCAATGCAGCCAAAAAACCAAAACAAATATTGATATCATCACCATAGACCTAAGCCCTAAGAATTAACTCTGCCCTAAGAATTAACTCTGAAGTATAAAATAGGATAAAGATGCAAAACCCCTAAATGGCTGGTTCATAATTTAGGCGAATGTGATTGTGAATTTAAAACAACTTCGATGTCACAAACCATTCACAGGGGTCCCCCCCTCTCCCACCTTCCACCCCTGTAGATCTGCCACAGATCAGGAGCAAATTTCATGACGTTTAGGAGAAAAGTTGTAATAACTATAGCAACATTTTGTATCAACCTGCATTATTGTATTTCATGGCGTGGATGTGACTAATGATTGCACATGATTGGAGATTTCTAATTGTAACGTCACTAATGTAAGCAACTTTTTCCTCGGAGGTGAGCGTGCTCCTTGCTGTGTTTACTGCTGACGGTCTCTGTGAAATATATGGCGGCTCTTATGGGATACTTACCCAAGTAACCGGCTCGTCGAGTCGGTTACTTGGGCCAGGCTCGAGTAAGCGCGAGAAGTCACGTGAGAGGTAAATCGAATGCTGTCGCGCTTGCACGAGTAAGTGCAGGGGAAGTAATCGAAAGCACTCAATAAGCAGACCCTACACGCTGAGCCATGAGCAACGGCAAATTTTATTGGAGTTTAGATGAACAATTCTTTTGTAAATGAATACATGCGAGCCTAAACCTCAACCAATCACAATAAGGGTTATATTGTTGGAAAGCTGGAGAGACGAAGAAAAATGACTCGAGAGATCTAAGCTCCCAGGTGGCGCTATTTAACGTTGTGATGATATTAATGTACCAGTTCTCGGCTGAACGCGTGGTTTACACACAAAACGGGGAGATTTTTGAGTAAAAATGCAGTGTTTAACATCATTTTGGGAGAGAAAATCAGTGTTTTATTCAGTTTTTCTGTCATTTTCTGATAGAGTATATTGTTAGGGTCATACTGTAGTAAGAACTAAGGTATAATCTGTCGAAAAATGTAGTGGTGGCGTCAGATGCGAAAAAAGGGCCCGTTTTTAATGTTTTTTTCGCTGTGTTCTGTCATAGAGGTTGCACATAAAGAAATGCCCGATTGGTTAGTTCCCCAAGGGAATCCCTATGGAATCGGAGGACATGATAATGCGCACTGGCTGTTTTTATACACAGACGTCAAGATTGCCTCGACTTGCCTCCGTGTGACGTCTAAACATGCTAATCCCTCGTGCCTTTTGTATATACACACACACACAAAGTCTGTGAAGTCTGTGGAGTCGGACCATGTGTTGATCTTTAATGGCCGTTGTGCACGGCCTATTGTTGTTCAATTTATATGCTCCAGTTCATTGAAACGTGAGGTTTCGGCGAGAAATATCGTACAAATAGTGTTGAAATGACTCTTGCGAATCAGTATTTGTGGCGTTTGGGTGTGTATCAGAAGTTGGCTAGAAAATTTTGCATTTTGCAAAAATCGAAGTTTTTGGCAAAAATAATCCCAGCGCGAAGTGGTTAAGCAATAAATCCGGTCCAAAACACAATCATGCAAAAGGCCTACATGTACAAACTGCGTTGGGGAGCTCCCATGCAATGGACGCACGCTTGCATGTGCACGCACAAGTAAAGTTTAAGTTCTCCAACCTGAAACCAAACTCAATTTGGTTCGACTTTGGGTCGCTCTGAATTCATTTAAAGTAGTGTTCTTCAACTAATTTGATTTTTTTCTATTAATGAATTTTCAATGATTATATTTAACATTCCAACCAAAAACCCCTTTTTTGGACGTCTTCAACCCTCTGAAAAGAAAATCCATTTTGCGAGCAGACTGGTCCTCGGTCCGTACATTATCTTTACTGATTGTGGGGCGGGAACCAGCCTACGCTTCGAGAATGGAATTATTGTCTGGCAGCCAATAATTTGAAATTGTAAAGTAATAATTCCAAACTAAACATGGGCGGATTTTGTATTCGGTCAATGTCTCACTCAAAAGCGAATAACTTTTGTATTGCTAGAAAAATAGCATCTATAGGAATCTATTTTTCAGGATGGAACTTGAAAATAGCACAGGGATAACACAACTGTATACATGTAAGTATCATTTCGGTTTGCAGTACACCATGTGGTAATAACTAATGTCACTCAGTAGACATTTAGTTCTGATAAGAACTTAGTTCTGATAAGAACTTGTCCTGCTTATAATCAACTTCCGCTAAGCAGTATTAGATCAGATAAGAGCAGTCATGCTTTAAGTTCTAAAAGAAGTTGTCTTTAGTTTTGGACTTGCAACTTCTTAAGTTTGGCGCGACTCTACAATGTCAATCTGAACAGGTGTTGGTTACTTTACGCTCAGTGCATCTGCAATTGTTTAATCTCAAACACTTAAACCTTCCAAAGTTACCTAAAGATGTCTTTTGAATTTTCTTGACAGCTCGGTGGTTATGAGGAGGTGGAGCATTCCTACCTCGGTGTCTTAGCTCGCTCCGAGGAATGGGAGAAGTCTCGGCTGAAGGACGGACTGATCCGATCGATGGCGGGATTCTTCACACAGCTTGGGCTACTCAAGGGGGCTAGGTATAACAAGAATTCTCACAGAAATGTTGTCATCATAGATATTGTACTCTTTAAAGACCCTAGTGCCAAGATGTGCCTTTATACCAATATGAAAAATATGGAAACGTGCAGGGGCATTTTTCGTGTTTAACTTTCTGTTTCTAAGCATTATTTGAACAGTTGAAAGTTGAACAGTGGAAAAAAATCAGTCAGGTGGGACTTGAACCCACGACCTCCTGCTTTTCACTCGGGAGCAGGGGCATTTTTCGTGTTAACTTTCTGTTTCTAAGCATTATTTGAACAGTTGAAAGTTGAACAGTGGAAAAAAATCAGTCGGGTGGGACTTGAACCCACGACCTCCTGCTTTTCACTCGGGAGGTGACACACTGAGTATATTAATGTTTATATGTCGATGAAGGGAAAAACGTAATTTTGAATTTACATCACCCTGAAGCAAATTCCATCTTATGAATAATTTCATTGCGGTACCCGCTGCTATATCACATTCGAACTAGCCAACCAATCCCAGTGAGCTCGGTGGTCGAGTGGTCATGCACTAGAAGGCAGGAGGTCGTGGGTTCGAGTCCCACCCGAGTGATTTTTTCCAACTTTCACTCGGGAGGTAAAACACTGAGTACACAGTGTTTATTTGTTGGTGAAGGGCCAAAATCTAATATTGAAATTACATCACCTGACACAAATTCCATCTTAAGCCCCTGTCACACTTGTCCGAATCGTCACTCCGTTCATGTTCCGAGTAAAACATTGTGGATTCGGTGTTTAATCGGTCTGAACTGAACTCAAACGGATTTCCCTCGGTTTTCCTCGGTTTTCCAACGCTATATACTCGTGTACGTTCGGTGATGCACTGAGGAACTCGGAGAAATTATTGAACCTGTTTAATAATTTCTCCGAATTGTCGCGGCAACCTCAAATACGGACGGTATCCGGTATACACACGGAATATGCACGGAATGCACGGAATACACACTGTACTCATTCGTTGCCATTCGTTGCAATGCGGAATAGGTACGGAAGAGTACGGAACAGGCCTCCGATTCCGATCGATAACCGTATGTATTCAGAGTTCATTCCGAACCCACACCATTGTAATGCCGATCAAAAAACGGACGCACCGACTTTGATGTCACTTTATCCGATGATATACCGCATTACCACGATGTAATACCGGAGACGAACGGAATATAAACGGAATGTTCGGAAAGCGGTACAGTCTTGGGATCAATGAATTTTTTAAAGTTTGGCATGTCGGGTGATGATCGGAGAGGTTCTGAATATAGACGGATTGCAATCGGAATAGCAAACTTATTAGATCCGGAATAAGACCGGATTATGATCGGTGTATTTTCATTTCTGGCTAGTTTTTTAACATTTCTCTCCGAACGTGTCCGAATTAATAATATTTCAGATCGGTTTATGAACGGAATTATAGATTTGGACAAGTGTGACAGGGGCTTTATGAATAGATCTTTGATAAATAACACAGGGAAGCTTTTGTCATGGTTCATATGATAAATGACTTGATGAGACTTGGTGTCTGATGATGGACTTGTGAGGACTTGGCGCGGTCTTGGGATGGGCTCGACTACAACTCTGCAGCAAGCATATCTGTTATTTTTGTTGAGGGAGAGAGTGTTTAAACTGCAAATTTATGTCCGTGCAGGCTCCTGAACGAGCGACTTCTGTCAGAGTTAGAGACCCGGTACATGGGGAGCCACGCTACCATTGTGTATCATCACACCAAGTACGAGTACAAGACCAGATGCAATCACCCTGATGTCTTGGATGTGAGTTCCCTAATGACATACAATATGCCGGGTCTGAGTCAGACATTTTTGATGCCGAGCTTTAATCATTGAATCATTTTGTGTCTATCAGTAGCTTTGAAAAGTATCACACACAAAAAAGGATTTTTACCATAATTCTTTCAGAGTTTTGGAAAAGAGTAAGCACATGTGATGTGTAGAGTATTGTACTCGAACCCTTTTGCTCAGTCGAACCACTGCATAGCAACCTAGTTTGGGCATTGCGCTTCAATAGCCTTAAAGTTTCGGGTGGCACCCTTGAACACATGAAGCTTAACAAGGGCCCACCATATCGCAGGTCTTTTGGTGAGATGTAGCTCTGTTTATTTGTTATGAACTACTGGACTGTAAAAGGCAAATAAACATGTAGGAAGGTAGAGGTATTATCCCTCCTACTGTTTAAACAGTCACAGACGGTCAAATATTCCAACCACTTCCCCTGCCGTGCATTTTACACAGGCTAGTAACAAACAGTCAGATCATATTTCAAGCAAGCACTCTGACTAGTCAAATTCAGTCAACAGACAAAAGCAAGAAGCTGGTGGCACAGCTGTCTTATCAAGCACCTACAGTCAAAGCATAGTGTATCAAGTTGCATAAACAGTCACAGCCAGTCAATCCTGCTTTATGTAGGCTGGGAGCTCTTAACTGTTGAAAAAAGTCACTTGATTGAGTTTGACTGAAAGGACAACTTGGCACAGAGTGTATGTTTGCATGGAATAATTAAGGTAAGTGTAATGATACAGTTATCCAGTCCTTATGAGTGGACGCAAGGAATGAAGCCTAAACAGGTATGATTTTTTTTTTTTTTAATATTTGAACTTCTGCACATAAACCTTTAAGGCGTCAGCGTGATTCCTGCTGTTATCATGATTCAGGAGCCTCGCTTACACATGAATAGCATTCTTTTACAGTGCTGATTAAGAAAAAGGTGAACTTTGAATCGCTCGAAACCAAAACTGATCCAACAGTTTCTGTTTGATGTGATAGGTACTGATATCTCTGGGGACCGTCTCCATCAAGTTAGGAGACCACGATGGAGCGAGTAGACACTTCCATGAAGCCTTGGAGAGGCAGAATGTCATCAAGACGCCAGAACAGAAACTGCAGTTGGTCAAGGCACTACTTGGCATGGGGTGAGTGAAATGCAACATTATAATTGACCGTCATGTGTGTTTTCAGCGAAGTTTTCAATTTCACCATACTTGCGGTTCCATTCCCTGTGATACTTAAAAATAAATACTTTTTTTTAAATTGCTATTTTTTTCTAGTAGTACACAAGTTATTCACTTTTGAATGAAACATTGACTGAAAAATCAGCCAGTGTTAAGTTATGTTAAGTTACAATTTTAAAGTATTGGCTGTCACCAAAAATTAATGATTGCGCAAGTAACGCCATAATATGCTGCACACGTCGCTGACTTGCGCACTATGAAACTTTTGTGAAATATGTCACAACTAAAATGTTGCGCAGCTCATGAAATGCACAGCGTGAAATGTTGCGCAACTTACACAATAAATTGTGGCGCATTTCACAAAACATAGAAAATAATTTCGTCCGACTTTCTTCGGAAGCATGCGGAAACTCTAAAAATACTGTCACAAGTAAAACAGCCATTCATTTACTTCAAACACAGAGCTTTGTCTTGTATCAAGGGTGGCATGGGTGGCTTGTGCGTAAAGCGCTCGCCTCTCACCAAGGTGACCACGGTTCGAATCCTGTGCTCCGTGGTCATATATGGGTCGATGTGGCCGGCAGCCATGGGCGCCTTTACGTGCCAGCGGCCCGACCACGTTGTAGCCGCGTCCTTCGCAATTCAGCATCCCAGCTGCCAGTAAGAATGATTAGCCTCCCAGATTATTATTATTATTATTATATATAAGTTGTGCAATTACAGGCTCTGCGATAATCAAGATTTGCCAGTAAAAAAACTCATTTTCAGTCGCTATACCACAGCTTACACCACCTGAAATGATTGCACAAGTTACGCCATGATATGTTGTGCAAGTCACTGATTTACACACTATGAAACTTATGTGAAATGTGTCTCTAAAATGTTGCGCAGTGTGAAATGTTGCGCAATTTGCACAATAAATTGTGGTGCAAGTGGAGTTACGCCGTTGCGCAAAGTTTTGTGAAATTAAGTACAGGGGATAGATTTTAAGAATACTGTCCACCTTTTAAGCTTTCAAAGTGCATCAAAGTTTGAACATTGGTGATATTCAAGACTTATCTGGCTCTTTTGCTCCGACCAAATGTAAAAGTTTTCTTTTCAAATGCGCTATACATACAATCTTAAGAGTTAGAATTGGTAAAACGATTTGGGTTATTTGCTGAAATTGTTTTGGGGGTAAGAATTCTATTGATCGATCTAGAATTTACTTTCAGTTTTGTTTTTAAACAAAATGATGGTTACTGATGCACTTCAAGCAAATTGATTTCACAACAGAAATGAATGCAAATATACATTGGTATTGTAAAATAAGTACAAAATGTAAACATTTGTCATCTCAACATGCATACAATATTTTTAGGTTTCATTTGGTTGTTGTTCATGCATCGTGGGGAAATTTAACCTCCAATGGTTGTCTGATCTGATGGTAAAACGTCTGGTTTAAAAATGGTTGAGTTAAAACCTGAGAGTGGGTAATTGCTGGGTAATTGGGTAGAAAAGTTAAATTCTAGGCTTGTGCCTTTTGTGACACTTAATTTGAGTAACTTGTCACCTGGTCTCGACATGAGACTGTTGAAATGAATATATTCAATGTTGTTGTTTAGGTCTGTGCTGAGTTTGCAAGGTAAAGCTGATGAGGCCATCCGTTTCCTTAGACGCGCTGAGGAAGTGGCTACCGATGTACTAGGACCTAAACATCACTATGTGGCTGCCATCAACGGCCAGGTTTGCGGCGTTTGTTTTTATACTCTTTGTACTTTATTTATTCATGGTATTGGTGGAGTACATGTCGTCAGTTGCAATATATAGAATGTATAATAAACATATTTGTTATATATTGTGTGCTTGGATACTTTAAAGTTATTGGTCGAGAACGGCCACGTGTCTAGTCTGTAAAAATCCTTTGCCCCCTCGGGTGTTAAAAATGCCATATCCCACATCACAACAATAAACTCTGCATATAGTGGGCTAATGTATCGGCCCAAAATTGGCTTCAACATCATAGTGCATTACTCTAAATCCACCTAATTAAGGCAAATAATTATGTAATCTGTTAACGTGAACATTGACAGTGTGCTTGTATCTTGAAGTAGATTATCAGTTTTCCATGACTACCTTCCTTGCAACCCTGCAGTCACAGATGATTGAGCACAATTCCTTTCAAAACCGAATAGTCAAACATGCCTTTGCCAATTTGGGTTGATTCACTTGGACCCGTTCTTTTACAAAGGGGCCACAAAACTCTCTTAAAATAAAGAGAAAAAGTGGGTACTGAGCTATTCATAAGAAAGGAACTTGCGTCGGGTTGATGTAAATTCAACATTGGTTTTGCCCTTCACCGAAAAAACTCGCAAACTAGTTCAAAATTCACAAAGTGTTTTTTGTCCTGTCTGCCCAGATTGGCCAGCTGTACTACAGCCAGAGCAAGCTAGACAACGCCATGGTGCTCCATCTCTGGGACCTCAAGCTGACCCAGAGTGACGTGGGGCTGAACCACCCCCGCGTGGCTGCTATCCTGAATAACTGCGGCCTAGTCCTGGATGATATGAATGACAAGATGTCTGGAGAAGTCTTCCAAGCTGTGCTGGGGATCCTCATAGAGGCTTATGGGCAGGATCACGTGGATGTGGCTACTGTCAGGTAATCTGACCGAGCTATTTTAAATATCTAGAGTACTTGCCCATTCTCTGGCAAAGTGTGCTCCAACGCATCCTGGACACAGACGTGAATTAATATGCATTATCATTATTATATGTGGGGTGCTGTGGCCCAATGGTAATGGAGTTCGACTCGTGTGCCGTTGGTAAACGGGTTCGAATCCTGACCGTGGGAACATGGTGCTTGTGCTCTTGAGCAAGGCACTTTACCATTATTGCTTCATCCTTTGGATGGGACGTAAAGCCCTGTGTGTTGTGTAATGCACGTTGAAGAACCCAGTAACACTTATCGCTAAGAGAAGGGGTTTGCTCCGGTGTTTCTGGCAGTGGCTGCAATATGCGCCGCAGCACCGTGTAAACCCTTATAAGGTGCTACATAATGGGTCTCATATTTCTCATTTAACTTAATTTACCTGTCTTTAATAATAGACATAATTTCCAGTGCCTTGAGTACCTAATTGTTGGTAGATACGTGCGCTATATTGTTATTATTATAATCCTAGAACAAACTTAATGATACGAAATGGAATATCACTGTTAAGCTCGCTCTGAATGTAATGCAAGAGAACAACAAATGCGGTTTCCTTAATGTGAAACAAAAAATCTACGTATACACACACATGTGAGTTGTATACGTAGATTGAGGTGAAACGCTCATTTACTGAGTGTGCGTTGCGGTTTTGAGCATATTGGCTTTCCTTTACGACTTGGTTTTTAATACATACTAATCCGTGTTTGTACATAAATATGGATGTGCCCAGCAGGCCACATTGTGAATGGCACTTTATCTCTCTAGTCATTTAGCCCTATTGGCAAACTTGAGAGGTTTTTGAAATCTTGGCTTTGGCCCAGGCTTCGCCTTCAGAAGATTTTTCAAGCCCCGAAATGGGACTGAAATCACTCAGCCTGAATGTCACAGCCCATTATTATGTTTACTTAAGGCAGTTAATTTCATATTCGTAACATACATGTAAGGTATGTGTTCTCCATCAGGATTATTGGATCCTGATATATGATGCCAAAGGTTGGGGAAATTTGATTTGTTTCAGACATCAAAGGCTTAAAAATGGAGTTTTGTTAAACCATTTATCCCTGTGCCGGCCCAAACTGCCCTGCCTATTAATCCATGTAGTGCTCTAAACTGCCAGAGAATTGTATGGTCTAATGGATTCTTCAGTTAGTCAACACATTGTAATACAATAAGGTACAGGTGTCCATGTTTGACCTTACAGCTACCAATTTCAGCATTCATTTACTGCCTATATATTCTTCATTGACCATCCTGTTGCTTTTCAGTTTGATGAACAAAACAGTGTTTTATTAGCTGGCCTGCCCTCATAATGAAGAGTAGCACGCATCTGCTCAACCGGAAATGTCCACACAAGCTGGGAAATGACCACAAGATGACCCAATTTTCTACACTAAATTCCTTGTATCTTAATAACGGACGGTCGCAAAAAAATGGGGGTTGCAGATTGTGAAAATTCATTCTTCTGGCTTTAAGTCTATCTATGTCTGGCTTGGAAAAGCAGAAAAACCACTGATAATTTTTTTCTTGAAAATGTGGGGGATGAGGCAATTGTCTATGGAGCGGAACAGAAAATGACCGTTTGTGAGAGACCTTCGGTTGTTTATCTCAACGTATCTCGAGAACCCAATGTCAGAGCACACTGGGGGTAGCGGTTTTGCAAAGAGGATGAAGTTCTCTTTCCATTCATATAAAGCTCGAATTTATTGGTTAAGAAACCACTGATCATTTTTTCGTCAAAGTGTTCCCCCAAAGACTGGATTTGTTGCAGAGTTCAGTCTTGTTAGTGCACGTGACCTAAGCCCGCATTGTTGTGTTGGGCCGTTCCACTGACTCGGGGGGTATTACCATATGTTTGCCCTGGATTATCATGCAGTATGTACGTGTACATGTCATAGAGCTGTATTATACAGCTCTATGTTACATGCACATGATGACCAAATTTTGACGTGTATTTTTTAGGCCTCAATGTTCACTTTTGTGACATGTTCATGGACTTGTCGAAGCTTTACTTAATGCACTAACTTGCCGTTGGCACTGAATTTTTATAACCTGTTTACCTTAGTCCAGTTTTTTTTTTCTTGTTCATTTAACAATGTCATTTTATGCATACTTTATGTGTTTGAACACTCGTGGTTTGTGACAAAATATATGTTAACGGATCGTTGAAATGCCAAATAAAGTTACACAAAGGCTGCTTGCTAGATGTATGTGGTGTATACGGAAGGACGTGTCCCTCAGTGTGCACGATGTACCTTTTATTGAGAATGGAGGATCCTATGTGGTACTGGCCAGCGTGTTGCGTGTGGTATGCAAATCGCAAGGTCAATTGGACAAGCTGTGGAGCTGTCTCACACACAGTGATCTTTTGCGCGTTTGGGCCCCAAACTTTTCATTATGTGGCACACCAAATAATCTCTCACAGCACTGGCCCGTGTAGTGTCTTTATGTGAGTTCAGGGCATATTTTGGCACAGATATGCACGTACATGGTGACCGGCCTGTCTCTGTCACCGTTGAGGGAAATACTTGCACATAGAATAAAAACAATAACAATAATAATAAGAAGAAGAAGAATAATTACCGATAAATTGGGTATTAGGGAGACATTCCCATAGACTTGTGCACATATTTTTTTCCCAACTTCAATTACCTTTAACCCCAATTTTACCTTATCGTACCCACGAATTTTGGTATTTTTACTTTTGGACCACGAGCAATCGATCTAACCTGTTTGCGATGATGCAGTTTTGCCTCAAAGTAGGGGATGTGGCATTAGGGAGACATTGAAATGTCTCCCTAATTCGATGTGTCTCCAAAAGGTATAACTTATGACGCTTAAGTGTCTCTCAAAGGTTATACTCGTAATTCTTATTAATGCTATAATGGGGCGACACTCCTGTAGACTTGCCTTGCACGCAAACCTAAACTGTCGCCTAACCCGAGTTTGCCCGATCCTTTTTCCATGAAATTCAGTATTATTTTAGGCTAATTGGACGACGAAGAATCGATCTGGATGGGTCGCAACAGTAAAATTCCTTGTCCTAATAAATCGAGACGACACTTGAGAAATCTGCCGCCCTATTGCAGCAATTCTAAATTTAATACAAGCTTTTACAAAGCACATTTGCACAATGCGCTACCAAAGAACAACTCCAGAAAGTACAACTAATGAAACATAGAAAAGAATGAACAATAGAAGTAACATTAATCTGAAAAAAAATATGATTTTAGTTTACTTTTGAACTGGTGGATAAATTTGCAGTGACGTGTATTGAGAGGGAGTGAGTTCCAGGTCCTGCTACAGAAAAAGCCTTGTCACCTGCGTGTTTGAATGTGCGTGTTATTTTTAGGTTTTGCTCTGAGCGAAGGCCACTTTGGTTTATAGGTATGCTGAGGTCTAGTGAATCTGTTATGTACTTTGCGCTTTGTACATAGTCATTTCTGTTTTATAAATGATGCATTTTTGAACAGGTAACCAGTGTAATTGTTGAAGGAGCGGTGAGGCATGGCAGTGACATGGCAATCCATTAAATTTAATAGCACTTACATTTCAGAAGTCTGTCTGAAACGCTTTTGTTCCGGACAAAAGTCTGAAACGTGAACAATGGCAATTATATTTCAGACATTCGGTCACGTTTCAAACAATTTCAATGTCTGAAATATAATCGCCATTGTTCACGTTTCAGACTTTTGTCCGGAACAAAAGCGTTTCAGACATTTCTGGTTCATGGTGATTGTCCCAACATCTCAACAGCGATTGGTTTCTCCTGTTTTCTAGATACAATCTGGGTTTATATTTCCTGGCCTCCAACATGTACCAACGTGCCAAGTACCAGTTCAATGAAGCCCTGCGTGTGTCCGAGTTGTTTCTGGAGAGGGACCATCCAACCATCCAGGCCATTAGAACCGTCATGACCAAGCTGAAAGATTTCATGTAATAATGCTACGACAATGTGTACTGAGGATTACTATTGTCATATCTCAGGGCTTTTTTTTCGGGGGATAAGTCATGGTCTAGTACTAAAGTAAAGAAGTGGTGCTGTGGTTGAGTCTAATATGAAAGTTCATGTCTTCAACAAGGTTTACCTTTATTACTTTTCTGTACTCAGGAATTAAACGAAAAAGACAGTGACCACTTAGCTTAACCCTAAAAGGGCTGGGTTATTTTGACCATCTCTCTGGGGGGGGGGGGGGGGGGGTCTCCGTCATCGAGTGATGAAACATTATGAAACTCGGTACATGCATGGAACAACTTATCATTAACATACCCAAGAAATTTCGTTACTATAGGTCAACGGGTTCTGGAATTATGGCTTATTAATTATTCATATGTACGAATGGTAATTCTGCACTATGTACACGACGTATAGGGGAAAATTCAGTTTTCACAATGTGTAGCAGATTCCACCCCCCCCCCCCCTGGCCCGGCCCTTTTAGGGTTAATACTTGATTTCAGAATGCAATGGCAATGTATTGTTGGTCACACCTTATGTGGAAAGTGCGCTAACATTGAACACTTTAAGAGATTTAGTCACCATTTGGAAAAAAAGGGCTTCCAAATATATTTTGGATAAAACATTGTCCTCTGTTATCCTCTAACATTGTTGCCTTGTCTGAGGAATATTTGTTTCAGAGGAAATTGCACAGGATGCAATTCAAAATATTTCCCTACATAAAGTGAGTTTACCGACTTTTTACAGAGTACCAGTGATCTTATTTTGAATTGTGAATTAAAACCTTTTAAAATCTGCCCCAAAATGTAGGAAAGTACTTTTCGGACACACATCAAATTGGATAATTAAATGGAGTTAATAATGGTTAATCATAATTAATCAATTTCAGAATATTTGCAGGGTTAAGTCGGGGATTTCTTTGATTTATTCAAGTGCACCAGGTAAAAGGACGGCGCACTGGATTTTTCTGCCCTGTTCTGGACAACCACCAACAGATTTGGCACAACAAGTTTCACAATTCGAAAAAGAGCTCTCAACTTGAGCTTTAAGGCATTGAGGGGGGGGGGGGGGGTTGTTACTAGTGTGATTGTTGTTGAGGCTTATCGGAATAGGATTTGGCAATAGCAACATGAGCTGAGCGAACCAGTAGGATAAGGTTATAAAGGTGACGGCAATGTAATAGCATAGCTTCCAGACGTAGTGGTTTTGTGATTCTGGAGTGCTGAATGGTAACACATAGCAACCCATAAAAATGTACGTGCTAATTGTGACGTACTGCCGCCCACGCCTATTTCTGGAAACCCAAATGTATGTTGTGGTAGTAAAATCAGTGCCAAGCAGGATTAAAATAGAGAATGAAATGTGACGTTAGACGGGTTGAAACTTGCGACTTTTGATTTAGCACTACCAGTCCGGATGTTGAAATATATTTTCGCTGGCTCCGGGAGGGTATGAACTCTTTGTGTGTACTTTTTCCAAGGAAGTATCAACGTCGGGGTTCGACCTTAACTTTTTTGTTCACTAGCCAGCCGGGCTACTGAAACAGACACTTAACTAGCCCGCGGGATTTCACTAGCCCACTTTTTTTAAAGTTAAAATACAAAATGCCGTATTTTTCAGGCTCAATTCTCAGGCAATTTTGTCAGTGTTTTAACAGATCTAATAATTGAACCCTTTAAAACGATTGATAAATTATAGACACAAATTGATGAGGTTTGCTTTCTGAATTTAATGATTTATTTCTTCCTGTTCTTTCATCTTTGCCATATCCCACTATTTTTTTGACTCGCCAGCCGGGCTACTTAAGGAATAGTTTGACTGGCCCGCGGCTGTTTTGACTAGCATTTGGCTATCGGGCTACGGCTAATTTCGAACCCTGCAGTACATGTATATACTTCATTTTGATTATCATGATTATTTAAGTATTTTCTGATGATTTAGTCTCGTCTTGGCCATTCTTGACGTGAACCAGTTTCTCTAACTTGTACAGTTTCCTGGTGTAAGGGAACCAGGTGGTCATTTTAGCCTGGTATCCCATCCGAGAGTGCCTTAAGGAGGTGGAGGATCACTACATTAGAACTGAGCTGGAGTTCTGTATTTCAGACCTTTTTTCCAAAAACTAAAACTATTTTCCTTGCATATTTCAGAATCTATTTGTAGTTGTGTTAAATCTGTTTCAAATATTGTGAAAAAAAGGAAATATGTTTTATTACTTATATTTTTCGTATTGCAAATTTCACTACATTAGAACTGAGTTCTGTATCTGTATTTCAGACCTTTTTTTCTTCAAAAACTAAAACTATTTTACTTGCATAAATCAGACTCTATTTGTAGTTGTGTTGAATCTGTTTCAAATATTGTGAAAAAAAAAGAAAATATGTTTTATTACTTACCTTTTTCGTATTGCAAATTTCAGTGTTACTGAGACAATTTTTACAATTTAATCAATTTGTATGAATATTTTTTTATGGATAACAAAACACTTGTTAGATGAGATGAGATAAATTTACACAAATCAAACTTCTGTTAATCATTAAATTGTCCAAAATCCGTCCATGCAGGTTATTGAAGCTAAAGTCACCGCACTATCAAGCAATATAGTACATCGTTGCAATAATTATTTGAGCAAAGACAATCTAAATGACTGATATTTTTATGTTAAAATCAAGACTGGTACATGTATTATAATTGGAATAGTATGACTGATAAATTATTATTTTCATAGATAGATATAGCTCATAGATAGCTCATGTCTTAATATAGGTTACCTACATTGTATTTTACCAATGAAGGATAATTTAAAATATATATATCTCTAGTAATATGGTACTCTAATGATACATGTAGTTTAGTAAGTGAGTGGTTTGAAAAGTGAAGTGATTGATGGTAACTTCCTTCACACAGTGCCTTCCTTTGTATCTTAATCTTCAGGTCGAAAGTTTTTGATAGTTTGTACCATAAACCCACATGATAATGTATTCATCACAAATTGTTTCATCTTTGCATAAATTTTAATTTCTCTGATCGGTTCCATCGCCAAAAATTCCTTTCGGTGAAAATACTTGTATCTATAACCAAGTGAAGGAAACGTAAAAACCAAAATGAAAAAAAGTTGAAATTAATTGAACCAATTTAGTCCAAATACCAGATTAGAATTCGGCAAGAGGCAAATAACTGAAATACAGACGAGACCCTGCAAATACCACCTGACCAAATAAAGCGGACCAAAATACTTTCAAACGCTTAGTTTGGATTATCACGTATCAGTGTTCTTAGTATTCAATGTCAGTTTATTTGAAAACATATTTTAAACAGAGTAGCCTATCAAGTGCTGTATCGAGGCTGGTTTGTATAGGTAGGCATCGTGGCAGTAACCTATCGGGATGATTGTTCCTGTAGGACAACTTTGTGAAAGTGTACCCGGTTTTTGAGTGAATTGGACAACCCCAGTAGACCTACGAAATAAACTAGTGTTATACTGTGTTGAATGAAACAACCGAGTTGAATAGTTCCATCGGTGTTGTTGCTTTTAGGATAAGGGTGCATGTTTTACTTCAGGCTCCGGTGAGGAACGTAAACCCATATGAATTGAGTCTCGGTTGGCACTTTTTCATCGAGAATCAAAACTTGATTTGGAACATATTTTCATCGTCGTGGTATTTGATAAATCATTCTCTTTTCTTTTATTAGCCCACGTCTGCTGTTACGTGCAGAAATTTGACTATATCCGATTCGTTTAATGCGACGTCAGTTCAGATTAAGCCACGTCCACTTTACAGTCCATCATTTGAAATTTGTGCATTATGTTCGTTCGAAGCAACAAAAGTGCTGGAAATCTAAAGAAGGGTGCTTAACAACTAACCTGATGAAGTTTCAGCTTAGTGAATGCTGTATATTCCGAGAAAACAATATTCTAGGATCTTGTTTTCAGATCAAAAGTTGCTGTTAGTCAGGCAGCTTAGGCCAGCCTTTGGAATTGATGTGGGCATTCCGGACAAAATCGCCAAATTTTCCATACATGCTCCTTATTGCCTTAGCTTTCAATTTTTGATAGGAACCACCTTATCCAATGACATTATGGCGGCCATCTTGGATTTTAAAGATGGCTGCCATTGAAAACCTATTTTTACCCATATCTCATCTTCTAAGCCACTTAGGAGTAAAGTTTTGGTGTCTAAACATGCATTATCAGGGTCAAGGAATGCAACTGTACCATTTGGGATAGTGTCAAACGGTTTGTTTGTCCAGATACAGTATTGTTGCCATCTTATTTTTGAAGATGGCCGCCGGCATTGAAAACACATGTATTGCATCTTTAAGCCACTTAACATTGAAATCTTAGCGTCTAAACATATATTTTCAGGGTCAAAGAACGCAACTGAACCATTTGGGTTAGTGCTAAATGGTTAATTTGTCCAGATACATTGCGGTGGCCATCTTGGATTGTAAAGATGGCCGCCATTGAAAACCTATATCTACCAATATCTGTTCTTCTAAGCCACTTAGGATTACAATTTTGGCGTCCAAACATACATTTTCAGGGTCAAGGAAAATGCAACTATAGCACTTTCGACAGTGTCAAATGGTCAGTTTGTACACTGTTGTGGCCATCTTTGATTTTGAAGATGGCCGCCAGATAATTATTGCATTTACTGATATCTCAGCTACTACCCCATATCAAATCACAGTCTAGGTGTCAAAACATACATTTTTAGGGTCAAGAAATACAACTCTTTTATTCAGAAGAGACCAAGATGATTTTAGTTATACACACAAAATAGTCAAACTGTAGATAACATCTCTTACAGAATACCGTTGATATATACTGCAAGCCCGCGGGAACGGGGGGTGATGTGGGTGCTGCAGCACCCCCAACTTTTTGGATTGGGGTGCTGGAATATGCTTCATAAGCACGGCGCTTCGAACGTCTAGCCCAAACACTGTAAAATATCAAGAGGAGGTATTTTCTAATTTTCAGGCAGTACAGAATCGATATTTCTCTCAAGGTATCTAAAATCATGACATGTCTATGATATTCCGCCATGATGGAAGCTTTGACCCGAAACCAATAATCTCGGCCATGACAATGGTGGCAAAGTTGATTTATGCTTGCCATGATTGTTTTCATTCGATCTTGCAATAGGGGCAAATGTTCATACCTTTCCCCTGAAGGTTTTTCTTTACATTTAAAAGTTGCATTGACGTTGCTAACATTCTGTACACAGCATTTACAAATA